AAGGAAACAGAGGGAAGGAAACAGAGGGAAGGAAAGGTAACAGAGGAGAAGGAAGGGAAGGTAGCAGAGTGAAGGGAAGGGAACAGAGGGAAGGAGGAGCAGCTGAAGGTGGATACGGCTGTGACAGAACAGAGCCCACAAGCACCTCGCTCCAGGAACCTGACCCAATTCCATCCATTCAGGCTCACAACAGACTCGCTCCCACTGTTTATATTCAATTCACAACACTCGAGGCTCGCTCCTTCCCAACTCCTGATCCAGCACTAAACATAGCCAGGTCACTGGGTAGTAGCATGCTTRTTCTTTTTTAAGGAATTAGAATTCCATAACGAGATTTGATGGCTCACAGTAGAGTGTGACGCTGCTGCTAAATTAAATATTTAATCAAGCATTAAGTGTGCGCCACAGACAACTCCRGGGCCATCCTGCACTGTTGTTCTCACCACCCCCAGCCATTCATTTTTCAAAAGGGAAACTGTCTCCCCTCTGCATTCAGGATCCAGCGTAAATGTCAGAGTCTGAGCTCTACTATCACATCAATATTTGATAATTAAGATGGCTCCCAGAAGCTGAGGCGGAAGGAGCATCAGCTCCAGCCTATTTTAGGCCGGGCTTTAGCACACGGCTTTCTGTTTACCCAGATTGCCACATCTATGCAGAAAATACTGCAGCAAAGGCATCCACACTGGGCTGGGCTGGGCCAGGAGGGGTTTTGGGTGGTTTCCTGCAGACCTCAGACGTCTCCAGCAGCCTGGAAAAGCCAGGGATTTGTGTCCCAGTGCAAACCACAGCGATGTTCTGGGAACGGGCAGCGAGGAGCCTGTGCAGCTCAAACAGAGCTCCCTTCTTCCAAAGGCAAACCCAAAAACCCAGACTCGAGCCCAGCTTTACACACAAGGACAAATTATCCCCAGGATCCAGGTCTGGAAATATTGGAGCAGATTTTTTGGGTGCTGCTGGACCCTCCCTGAGCAGCTCCTTTATCTCCCCTGCCAAACGTGCGCCGCAGCCCCAGAGTCCTTTAATCTTTGCTGGCATCCTCTGCCCCCACCCAGGCAAGAAAATTCCCTTCTGCTTTAGCAGAACAGGCACAGAGTTATGTAAGCAGCAAGTTAGGGGCATTTTGAAGCTGGAAATTTGGTGGGAACGGGGAAAAAATAAAAAAAAAAAAAAATCCAACACGTTCCACATCCGGGGGGACGGAGCTGTGCCGCACCCGAGGCTGCGAAATAAAACCATGGGATGTCCCCAAATCACATCCCCACACCCCAAGGAACTTTCTCCTCACTCCTGCCTTCCCACGGGAAAAAAACCAGCTGCCCCAAAAGCCCCGATTTGGGATTTTCACGGGGTTTTTGCAGCATTTCCAGAGGCTGTGAAAGGAGACAGAGTCACTTTAGTACTGAAAAGTGTCGCGTGTGCGAGCCGGCCGTTATCTAGGAATTATTTTTAGCTGAAAACAGAAGGTTTCTCAAGCCACCAAATCAGCGTGGCTTTTTGAGGGAGCCCTAATTTTGGTGCTGGGTATTGCACCAGTAACCAGAGACGATCAAAAATAGCTCGCTACAGATGTGACTTCTGTTTTCTTCTTTCAAGTAAAGCTCATCTGCGGACGGCTCGCTCTGAGCAGAGATTTCACCCCAYAACTCCTCTTTAACCCCAAATTCCATCCCAAGAAACRGRGGGAACGTTGTATTTTCCAKTCACAAAGCAAAGATGTTTTGCACYCAACARTCAGAKGAAAAATTCTGCACAACACACGTGGGTTTGGCACCTGAAGGGGATTTTTTTTTTCCCCTCCTCAGTTCAGTTCTTTCCCTGTTCTCCCCACCCCGCGAGCACCTGCAAATTTCACCCAAAGCTCTGATTCTGCACGTCTTTTTACCAAAATAGCAGCATTTTCAGTATTTCTAGCACAGTTCTGCACACAATTTGTGATGCTGTGGTATTTCAGCTCTTAAATTCTAATTGATGTGCACATTGSAACAAGAAAAACGCTCAAGACTGCAGAAAAACTTATAAAACTATCCAAGAAAATCCAGCTCATGAGGAAAAATTGACAGGGAGAAGCTGCTCCTGAGGAATATCCACTCAGGAGAAACCCTCTGGTAAAAACAACTTGGTTATCACGACTGAAATTCTGATTATTACACAGAATAAAACCCATTGAGAGCAGCATCGCTACAGAGAAATGCATCCCAAGGCAAAATCCAAAAAGTTTTTTTGGAAATTCTATTCAGGATCCACGCACRAGGTTTTATCCCTGGTGGAATTGTTTTATTTTAGGCTACAACCACTGCTTTCCTCCTTTCTGCTGCTGGCCAGAGCTGTCACCTTGCTGACCTCAGGTTTTATTCCCAACAATTCCCTTCCCTGGTTAATCAGAGTCTCAAACACGGGAAGTTTTTGTTTCTGTGTGTTAGAAACTGAAAGTATCCCTGACAGTTTTCATCAGAGTAACCCTGGAATAGGTGCAAACACAGGAATTTAAAGGCTCCTAGAGAATTCAATTCAAGAAGCAGCAGTTTGTTTAAATTCTGATTTTATGTCCTGCCTCCCTAAATCATCAAGTGAAGCTTTTCCCTCTGGAGAGAGGGATGCTTGCAAAGAAAACTCGTGCTGTTAAAACCCCACAGCACTGCTTTAAATCACACTCAAGTGTGGAAACTTCCCACCCTTCAAAGTTAACGGGATCCTCCAGAGCTGCGTTTTTGGGAAGCAAAACAGGAAGGCAGCAAATCGAGGAACTGAGGAAGAGTGGAAAGAATCATCTAAAAAAAAAAAAAAAATGAAGCAGCTCAACACATATGTTTGAATGTCATCATCTGGATGGGAGAGCCTGTTAAATTCCTGGAATGATCTCCACGCTCCAACTGATGGAGGATCCCTCGAAAGCACCCAAAGCCTCAGCTCCTTAAAAAGCAGGAGAATCCCGGCAGGCAGAGCCCTGCCCTTAAAGCAGATGGTTCCCCAGCTGCCAGCTCCTTGTCACAGCCAGGGAACGSCGTCACAGGGGACAAAGAGCCCTTTCTGCGCTCCCTTCAAAGCTCTACCTTTGGCCTCGCCATCAATTAGCCAGAGGAGGAGCAGGCAGAGGTCAGCCCTGGCTGCCACATCCTCCTGGCAGCCCAGCCAGCCTGGCTCCTGTCACACTGGGGGTGACACTGCAGGTGACACTGCAGGTGACAGCAGCTCCTCACCGACCGCCC